TTACAATTCGGTCATTTAGGGTTAAAACTTAGATTATGGTTAGAGGTTATGCAAAATTGCGCAAGTAAAACCTTTTTGTTAAAGGATTAAACGTACTGCTTGTGTTATGTTTCACAAGACTAAATGACAATCATAACAATGGTTAACATTAGAATTTTGTTCGAGTAATGCTGGTCATTGTTGTGTTCAAATACATGTGAACAGCATGTCGTCATTTTCATGTGAAGACAAAATTCCTTAGAATTTCTTCAAAATTTTGAATTTAGCAATGGTATAGCCAAATTGTTTAAGAAAAAAAGTCTAACATGCATGTTGACAAAAGTCAACGGATTGAAAAAAAGAATAAAACTGGCCTGAGGTAACAAGTCGTGTAATAAAAAAGTCACCGATCATAATCGGAAGTGATGAAAAAGTCAATTTCGAAACTCTTTCTTCTTCAACACAATAACCTTAGGCAAACAAAATTTCTTGACACAACCCTTCCCGCCACACCTGATTCTGCCATTTCCTATTTAACAGTCGAGCTGCTTCTCGCTTATGATAATATCTGGCGAATATCGCTAATGTTTATCGTTTCAGTCGAATTACTTACAATGGGGTTTCAGAATTAACTTATTTTGAAAACAACGGGTGCTTAAAGATTCTTATTTGTGCTTTTAACTTCCGAAGTCAGAAAATGAAACAGAAGTTCTATTTTATAAGTCTATAAGTTTTTCAGTTTTGATGATACTATAGCTATTATAAAATAGAATTAATATATCACTTAACCTGAAATAAATAGATCATCTATTTTATTCCAAATCAGAAGTCTAGTCATTAATTCTGAAACACCAATGTATTCTACGGACTCTAAGTCCTTTGATTGAATTTATTTGGCTAGCCGGCATTCATTCAATTATATAACCAGTCACTTTTCAATAAAATATTGCATCTTATATGAAATGAGATGATTCTTTTTTAAAAATCAAACATTGTTCTAAACATGTTACGTTACACCTAATAGTAATACGTAAATTTTGTAAATAAATATGCATTTATGGCTAATGATGACGGAGTGCGTTTAGAGCTTAAGTGCATTTATGTCTGGCAACAGCCATATAATGCTATGGAGAACTGTTTCTTTATTGTGTCATACAGTAGTAATGTCATATATACCAAAGAAACTTAGAATTTAAGCAAATACAGTATCACATTTTTCATCTATTCTATACATTCAAAAATTAGAATTCCTACTACCTTCAAATTTACATAAAGTTAAATAATACAATAAAACGAAAAGTAGTAAAAATTATAAAAGCATGTAAATAATACTATTAAAGCTATCTCGAATTCAAGTTTTCAATAACATGATTAAATCGTTTCCGTGCTTACCCTAATTTTTAAAGCCCATTTAAACAAAATTTCGTATTGTAAAGATGCTTTTTATCTTAACAAATTTGCCATATTATACACCTTTGCAGAGTTGCCTTTTTTTTTTGTTGTTGTTTTCGTATTGTTTTACTCAACATCTTTGAATAAGATAATCTAATAAAAATAAAGCTTCAAAAAAACTTAATTTCTAATCAAAAACTTTATTACTTCAAATTCATGAAATAAAAAAAAATAATGAGCTCAATGAAATACTCAACTATAAAATCCGCAAACCTTATTGTTAACTTCGATGACCAAAAGCATTTTAAATATTTAATCTACAAATAACCCTTTTAATATTCGTCCTAACCCTACTTTCTTTTATCATATGAATCGTAACAATAGTGAATCACAAATGTTGTACGTGCATTTCCGTCAATATAATACAACTATCTCACAGTTTCCATTACCTTATATGCAAGTTTATTGATATTTTTCATTATTTGTGTAATTAATTAAAAGATTTTCCTGCATAACTGTGCTATCGAAGGAAAAAGATTATGCTCATTTTGCAAAGTACTTTAAACTGCATTATTTAGCATTGGCATTTACAATTAGCTATTGGATAATACAAATTATTAAAATAGCAATCTTTGGTTAAGATAGTAAAATTTTGATAAAAAATAGATTAATATTGATCCGGTAAATTTGAATTTCTATTTTAAGAGGATGGCTAAAGCCATGTCCCACGTGATTTTCGAAGTTTTAATTACAATTAGGGTTAGGGCTAGTGTAGTATAGAGTTAGGAGTTAGAATTAGGGAAGCTATACAAAATATACAAAAAAATCTGATATATATAGTTTAGAAATGATTATGTGGGAAATCTCTGCAGGCAAGCCACCATTTTATAATGATATTCAAAATTCCTTGGAGTTGAATAAAGGACTCGTTTTAGAGGTACTTAGTGGAAAGAGACCAGATATCATTGATAGAACTCCACCCGAATATGCGAATCTTATAATCAAATATTGGGATGAGAATCCTGAAAATAGGCTTGATGCTAAAATCATCAATGATAAAATGGAGAATTTACTTAAAGACATTTATCAAAGTGAAGATATCAATTATGAATTAAAATTTATTCCAATTACTCTTGAAGAATCTAGAATATGGAAATTTTTAAAAAGTGGAATAAGGGAAATCATTAAAAAGTGTAAAGTTTTGAAAGAAATTATAGATAAAATTAATATAAAGAAAAATAATTTTCAAACAAAAGGCATTGATTTGAATAAATATCCATCTTTGCCCTTGAAACAGGATGAACAGAGCGTTTCTGATAATGTATTTTCAATTTTTGAACATGATCAAAAGTATCCCTATTTGGACAGAATTTTTGATTATATATCATAATTTCTGAACCTGAAAGAGAAATTCCGAATTGTATTCCTGAAGATAAATTAAATTTAGTTAATGACCATATTATATTATTAACATAAATTGGAAACCCC